GGGGCGGGGCTGATGTCTATAGAACAAAGTTAAAAGTTTGTCATAGGATGGTTGGAAGATGACCGTAGATGGTCATAGGATGGTTGGAAGGGACCTTGAAGATCAGCGAGTTCCAACCCCCCTGCCATGGGCAGGGACACCTCCCACCAGCCCAGGTTGCTCCAAGCCCCGTCCAACCTGGCCTTGAACACCTCCAGGGATGGGGCATCCACAACTTCTCTGGGCAACCTGGGCCAGTGTCTCACCACCCTTACAGTAAAGAATTTCTTCTTAATATCTATTCTAAATCTCCCCTCTTTCAGTTAAAACCCATCACCCTTCATCCTATCAGTACACTCGCTGATAGAGTCCCTCCCCATCTTTCCTGTAGCCCCTTTAGGTACTGGAAGGGGCTATAAGGTCTCTCCAGAGCCCCTTCTTCACGTTTCTCAAGAAATTTTGGTTGGGACATGGTTAAGACATCACAGAAGGTACCTCACCTTGAATAGGATGTGAAATGAAACAATGTGTCTTACATGTTCTTTTGCAGTTGCTGACTTAGACATAAGATAGCACAAAATATAAGGTCTGGACCAATATCGAGCCAAGAGCATACCCCAACCCAACCTTGGGTAAAGATCATGCTAAAATACACCCCACTTTATGAATAATGAGCGTGTTAATCAAGTAACCTCCCCAAATATTTTAAATATGTGCTGAGATGCATATGTATAGTTAGGAGTGGTGAATGACTCATTATTGACCACCCACCTGTATTTTATCATTACAGGTGTTGGGCGGTTGGAAACACAAGGTGTGCTGGCTGTTGCTAAATGCCCGGCACCCGATTCTGCAGAATCGGAATAAAGACAAATCTCCCGACTCTGTGTTTGGACTGGCTCTCGCACACTGGGTGAAGTCCCTTCGTTTGGGGACAGCAGGGTGACGCAGCGCGGTGCCATCCAGTTTGCTGCAGTGCTGGGCAGTCCAGTGGGGTCCATGCAGCACAACGGGAAGCTGTGCATCACGTCACTGCGTGAGGTTTGGTGCACCCCACAAAACTCTTCTGGAGAAGTTGTGGATGCCCCATCCCTGGAGGTGCTCAAGGCCAGGCTGGATGGGGCTTTGAGCAACCTGATCTGGTGGGAGGTGTCCCTGCCCATGGCCGGGGGGTTGGAACTCGATGACTTTAAGGTCCCTTCCAACCCAAACCATTCTATGACTCTATAATTCTATGGTTCTCGCTGCTCGCCTTGCCGCTCTTAAAGCCATTTTCCTGTTGGGGTGTGTTACGGTTTTAAGAACCCACAACAATTTATTGTCATTTTGGCAACTATTCTATCACCCGATGACCCCTCCCCACCCGGGAAGGGGAATTGGCAAAAAAACAAGGAAACATAAGGGTTGAAATATAAACAAATGCAATGGAATAACACTAAATATTTAACATTGATAATAGTAAAGAACCAATATTGATCCTGAAGAGGACCCGATGGAAACTTAATAACTAACCTTATTTTTAAGGAACAGGGCTAGCTTTAAACTATTGCAACTATCACCCAACAAAGAGAACAGGATATCATGAGACCATTGAGACACGAGGAACCAGTTCTCAGCCAGAACCAGATGGGCGGCTTTGGCAACCAGATAAGGAACAAAGAACTACAGTTCACCAAAAGAATACGGTGATAAAGAGGAGTAAATGACTACCAGAAAATTCTGAAGGACCACGGAGAGACTGTAATGCGCATACGAGAGTGGGTAGTAAGCTATGGTAATGAGTTCCCAGAAAAGTTAATGATCTCTCAGAAACCTTGTGAATATGTATATATGGCATATATATAACCTGGATAAGTAACCCTTTACGGCGCACACTTTAGGAGGAACGATCCCCCGTGCATCCAGCGCTGCAATAAAGAATGCCTGGTTAATAATCACCAAGACTACCGAGTCCTGATTTCAGCTTTTCATGTCATCGATCCCAATACCAATATAAAATATACCAGGATTATACTCAGCCCATACCATCAGTAGAATCTGTGTGCTCCCAGCAGGGGACAGCAAATGTGGGACACTGCGAGCGCTATGGCTTTGGTAAGAAGGGAAGGGCTCAGGGGTTCGGCACCATGGCAAGAAGTTCTCAGGATCACAGCCATCAAGGGAGAGAGAGAGACTTCGCAGCAAACTTATATTTCGCAGCAAATTTATATTGAATGTGACTTTCATAGTATGAAATAATCCTGTTGGCCATCTTGGGTCAAGTGCCCAGGTCTTACTCCTTCTCATCCCTGCACCTGGCAAGATCGAAAACCTTGAAACTCACACACATAGTAAATATTTTCACAAATTCAGACACTGAAGTCTTCTAACAATGCAGTTTTCCCTAGCATTAGAAGAGAAAGTAAAATTACTGAAAGATAAATTAACCCCATGTTACTCAAACCAGGACAGAGCTCCGTGTCCCCAGCTCCGCAAGGCCCCTCGTTCCCTCCCCAAGACCAAGCTCCTTGTCCCCGGGGGGTCCTGCACTTTGAGGAGTTTGCTCCAGGCCCTGATTCTGCAATCCCACGGCCTAGAGGCAAAAGTCCTCCTGCGGCCAACCCATCCCAGTGCTCAAGCCTGGAGCTGGGATTTCATTTTTCGTCAGCCACAGAGCCTTTTCCCAGCTTCTCAGCCCACAAACACTGTACAACAGAATATCCCCAAGTTTCTAGTACTGAAACGAGCGAAGAAACTTCTACCACCACCACCAGGGATAAAAATTGTCTGGGTTTTTGTAGTCCTCCATCTTGCAGCTCTGGCTGCTTTCCAAGGCATTCAATTATGAGGGCCACACAGAAGCGGTGTGTCCTGGCTCACCCAGCAGCTCTGTGACAGCAGGGGACGAGCCAGCAGACGTCTTGTCCCATCAGTTAAACCGGCTGCCCAAGTCCCTCTGGGCACTGCAGTCTTGCCACAATACACAAAAGCACAAAAAAAAAAAAAAAAAAAAAAGCAGAGAAGGGAGGAAACCATCCTCACCTTTTTTCACAGGGACCAAAATCTATTATTAAACTCTGCTTTGCTTTAAATGGGAATTTACACAGGACGTTCATCAGAAGTGTTGCACAGGCAGCTGTGTGAAGAGCAGAAATTGTTTCATATTGCCACCTACAGATACTATAAGCGCTTTCCCTCTTTGCAGGCAAAGGGAACATCCCTGTAGGGTTTTAAGACATCCTGGCAACTATTTGCAGCACAGGTCTCCTTTGGACAATGGCAGAACAATTTCACCTGGAGTCTGTATGCACAAGTCCATCACAGACAATGCACAAAACCAGTTTTGTCTTCTAAGTCTTTTCAGTTTCTATTTATAGCATCACTGTGACATAGGGATATTCAAATGTAAAGTGACACTTCTGCTTTAAGCGTGTCCCTTTGCATAAAAAAACAACTCAGTAATACAACATAGTTCTTTGAAAACTACTTTTATTGAAACCACGTGTATATGGCTTTTGACCGGCAGTTGTAAGATTATCACTGTAATTAAGTGTACAGCTTGCAAAGATGTACAAATGCCATTATTTACTTGTTTTACAGAACTTTTAAAATTTTTCAAATGGTTTAAACATGGTAACTGAGTATGCCCCTATAGATGACTCTCTGCAAACTGGTAATTCTACAGAAGGGTTAGTATTTCAGTGCTGACCAGAAGAAATCAAAAGTCCCCCTTTACCGCCCTGAAAATTCCAGAAGCAATGACTTTGTATGTGAAAGTTGGAGGTACACAATGCAGGGGACCATAGAAAATGCCCATAAGAAACAGGTATGAATATTGCAATTTATACCTAGAAAATAACAAAGTATGCCACAACAGCGTAAGGGCGGGGGTGAAACAATGAATGCAAAGTGTATGTTTAATGTTGGATTTTTCTTTCTTCAGGACTCTTAGCACCAACAAGGGCGAGTGGATGCCCGAGAATGACTGAAAACTCTGCTGGTGAGAGAGATCATTGGTCCAACATGGAGTGTTTTAAATAAATCCTCACAGGCAGGCAGCCACTTGGTGCTTTATGGTGATAACTGGAAACACAGGAACATGCATAGATGCATTGGCCTAACCCTACACCTCTGACTCCAGGCCACAGGTGAGGCAGAGCAGCTCCCTCTCCCACCAGTCCCCTCTGCCTTGTGTAGGAAGAGGTCAGGGCTGTGCTGATGGTTCTTGCCTACACCTCCACATAACTGAATTTGAAAGGTGGGCATTGAAATAGCATGTTCTAAAACATTTGCTTATCCTGGCCTTGTTGGGCTGATAATTTGAAGACGTACTTAAACACATGGATAGAAAAATAACCACTTAGCTTAAGAAACGTAGATGTAAACAAGAATCAAGAATTGCCCTGTTAATTCCCACATGTAAAAGGCACTAAAGCTTTCCAGGCTACTAGGAACATTCTATTTTCTGAAAGTAATAAGGTATTCAGGATACGCCTGAATATCATTAAATATGACAAACATTTTTGGAGAATTCACATCATCAACCACGCTGTCATACAGGTCAGTAGGATCTGCTGGGTCTTTCGGTGGTGGAGTGATTAGGCCTTTGCTCCCAGCACAGTACTGGCCGGTGAGGACCCGAGCCAAGTACATGTATCTCCTGCCATTCATATCCGGTCTGGAATAAGTATTCTGAGCCGAATAACTTGCATCAACAGCAAAGTATGTTCCGTTTCCAATGACTGCAGCTGTTTAGAAAGACAACATTTTCAAATATAGTTATAGCATTTCCACAAGAATCTCTAAAGCTCCCCCCCCTTTTTTTTTTTGTATTGTGGAAGTTATAAATTTGATTAGGGTTTAAACAGTAAATTCTAGTCATAATCCTTTGTATCAGAATCAAATATGAATCCACTTAGGTGTCGGGTAAGTATCAACACCCAGGTTTTGACTGCCCTTTCCTATGGAGAAAAGGGTTTCTCTCTGTTTAGCTTTGTTGTTTAGCCTACAATCCATCAAATTGCAAACCTTCAGAGCCCTTTCAACTTAAAACGACTATATAATTGTAATTACAGTTTTCTAGTTACACTTCAGAGCAAGAAGTTAGAGGAATCACGCTTCTTTGTGTGGGACAGATTTCTTTTTTTCTGACATTGGTAGAAAGCTGTTCAAGCCACATAGGTCCTTCCTATCTGGCTGCTTTCATCTTTAGATATTTTTGCACGGCTACCCAGCCTGACAGAAGGGAAGCGTGCATTTTCTGTTGTAAATCGTGGCTGAGATGGAGAGGTGGATGTCTATATTCACCGGCAGAGAGAGGGCGTGGGGATCTACAGCTCTTGCTTCCCAAGTAAAGCCAACCTCTTGGCACTACCAAAGAGCAGGAAAGAGAAACTACGGCTCCTCTGGTCATGTCTTAAAAAGAAATGGTGGCTGCCATTTCTATCTGCGCACAGCCCGATATATTTTGCGTATGTTGAGCTTCATTTTCTCAAGAAAATATCAGCATAAGTACCTCTAGAGGATCCAGACAGAGAAATGTCTACTTTTGGATCCAGACCACACTGAAGTGTCAACTAGATCCGAGTTAAGCTGCCCAGCTCTCTCAAGATCAAGCCAGCCCTCGTCACGTACAATTATTTCTTAATGAAGACAACATTAAGAACAGAAAGTAAGGACTTTTGAAGTAAGGTTGCAGGACCTCTAAGACCAACTGGCACCTCGATTTAGCCCAAGTTCCACTTCTTTGCATCCTGTCCTTCATCTTTGAATGCTACCAACTAATAAACATAACATGACTGTGCTAGAGAAACTGGACAAAACAATCTTTGAACTGCTACAGAAAGTCTTTCTGCTAAATATTTAATAGTTATCCCTAATAACTATTAAAGGAGAAGAATTAATTCATGAATTTCAACCAATTTCATCTGCATAAAAGTGGTAGGGGAGTAGGATCTTCTGACTGATTGTGCTGTCCTTATCTTTGGAGGCAACAGAAGTATCTGCACCTCTACTTTGCTTCCTGCCCTTTCCTAAGAAGAGAGGAGATACCAGCAGCTAGTGGTTGATATCTCAGCTGAGGATGATGAACAGCAATCCTTGTTCCTTCCTGTAGGCAGATCATACAAAACATTTCTCAAAAGCTGCCCAGGCTTGATTTCTGGGTAGGCAAGCTTTTTCTAACACTCCCTAGACAGCGGCATTCATCAACAAAGGATTAACTGAACAGGTTAATTCCTCCATTCATATAGATTATGCTCCGGAGTTGTTGATTACTTTGTTCTCCAACTTTATTCAGTCTTCATGTTGTGCTAACAGCACCATAACATTGACATTCCCTAGCAGCTCATACATATCTAGGAAGTTAACTGCTTTAGGTAACGACTCACCATTCTTTCCAGCAAACCCACGATTAAATCCATTGTAGTTGATTGTGCTCAATGAGGATGCAGCTGTCCCATGAAATAGCAACTTCTCATTATTTTGATATTTGTTCTTTGTGCAGAGAGATTTTTTTTTTATTTGGTATGTCTGCCAGAGGAAGGGATTTTGTATTCTTTCAATCTGCAGAGGTAGAAAATAGAACTGTATTTATACCAGTAGGGAACCAATATTTATCATGGCAGCAAAGCATTAAAACCAAACCAAACCGAAAGAATGATAGTAATTTCCACTATACCCTGTTAGCGTGTGGTTTGGGTTGGGGAACTGAATACCCAAGCCTCATGAAAAATCAGAAAACAAAGAGGTTTTCAAGCTTGGTAATTTTTGGCATATGTTTGTCTTGCCTAGTATACCAGGTCACAGGCAATCATGGCAGCTGTGCATTGTCATTTTCACAAATTGGCTGTTGTACCACTGCCAGAGGCAACCATGTAAGATGCCTTCTGTACATCCTAATCATCTTTACTCACGGCTTTCTCACTAAAGGGTAGACTGTAGCAATAGCATTACGTTGAATTTAAGTTTCTGTTCCAGATCTCAGCTTGGAAGTCAAAATTACTTCCTTTACGGTGTAGCTTAGCAACCCATAAGAAACTCTTATACAAAAATAAATTGGTGGGAGGAGAGATTGTTGCTGGCTCCCTGTGCCAACAAGGTGAATATAGCTTAGGAGAAAACAGTGTATCTGTGTCAAATTATAATCTTAAAAGGCATTGCTGTAACAGTTTTCAATTTTCAATGGAAAAAGGCTTCATGTCATTACCTGATTTTTTCCACTGGACACTAATATTTTGTTCTGTTTGTGTCTTAGTGACCATGTTCATTGAATCTCATGAAGGAAGAAAATTTTTCAAACACATATTCTCAGTCTTCATTTCATCGTATTTTCTCCTATTTATCGCTCTCCCTGATTTTGAATAATTTCATCTTCTCCCTGGCAATTACATCTCTAGGCACTGTGTTACAGACTTTTCAATAAGCAGAATCAAATCTTTACACTTTGGTTAAAACCAACACTAGCCTGTAAGGCTCTCGGACTGACAGGGAAGAAGTAGTAAAAGAGTAAAAAGCTTTATGGCCAGTCTGCAAAGACCTTGTATTTTCCTGTGTATTCTGAATGCATTTACTCATGCTTCCATTTCAATATAGAATTTCCTAGTTGGAAATACTACATTAGTTGAACATAGATAGAGTCAGCCTGAAGACTGATGGTCACTGGTTTTGCATTATTGGAAGGCAGAAATGGCAGAGCAACTCTTAGGAAATTTGATTTGATTTACATCCACCCTGGTCAGTGCCGGGGAGACTGACATTTGAAAGTCATATTAGGTTGCAGACACTTTACAAACAAATATTTAGAAAGTATATTAATGCTTTCAGCCCAAGAATTCACTTTGTTTCCCCCATAGGATTTCACCTTCTCTATGACAAAGCTGGGACAGGTTTTCTTAAATTTGTTCTGAACTTCCTGATATTCCCGACATGATGGCTTGAGATTCACCAGTTTGACCCGTTCCTCTTGCATGTCTTCCCACTGCGCAGGGAGCTCTATTGACTTCTTATCTGCAAAACGGAGACTGCATTGTCATCACAGGTATCTAGCTCAGTTTTGTAGGCACGTCTTACAAATCAGCTGCATATAGAGGGCTGAGAGGATAGTACCTTACACAGTCTTTAATTCCAAGAATACACTCTCTTATCAATACATCACTGGCTCTGTAATGCCCTGTTAAAACTTTCCATTTTCTCTAGTCGAATTATCCCCATACCAATATCTAACTAAAACAAGTTTGAAAACCACAGAAGAATTTTATGCATTCTTCATACACCACTTCCTTTGTCAGACTTAAGCGTGAAATCTATGCTCACTGGTCACATACATGCGGATAATATTTGTATTTAAAACAGATGCTCTGATTTCAGTCATACCTGCCACTACTTATGAAACTAAAACTGCTAGGGGAGGGAGGGGAACTGAGAATAAAAAGCTATTCTTATTTCTTTGGAATACCTGAGTTTGCATTTATCAGAATTATCATTCAATAATCACTACTAAAGGTATTTTATTAACAAAGCTGTTATTTACCTTCATTCTTTGGCACACGCTGAATATTTATAGTTTTTCCTTGGTCATCATTAGCCTGTAGAGTATTCAGATCCACATTGTAGTTGTTCTTGATAATTTTGACAGTGAGATGTGTTTTTTTAGCTATTTTGGCATCCTCCAGCTGCATATTTGTCAGTTTATCAAAAGGAACAAAGCTATGATTGCTTCCTTGGTACCTCCATTCCACCAGGTTATAAACAAGTTCTGCCTTGGATCGTTCTTCTTCAGTATCCTTAATTTTTTGGATCATTTTTTGAACTTCCACAGAAACAAAACAGACATCCCTGCTAACACCAGAAATTTTAATGTGATGGGGGGAATGTTTATTTTCAAGCTGGATGGTAACATGCTTCGTTCTCTGGAGATCTGCCAAAGTCTCAATTTGCCTCTCATCAAAATTTTCAATTAGCTCATCTGAAATAATGTTTTCAAACTGTTCCTTTAAAATTAAACTCTTTATCCAAGACTCAGTTGCATCCACATTTTTTTTGCTTTCTCCACAAATTTGAAATGTGGCTAAATCAACTTTCTTCTCCAAAACCACAGGCTTTTTCTTCTCAATGGATTGGAGTCTGCCCCCCAAAAATGCTGTGAAGACATATATGTTAATTATTAGTTTTATGTGCCCATGCACACGGAAAACCCACCTACTAACACATTTAAACATAGACACCCACGAACCTGTTGTGGATGAATCTGAACCTTCTCTTTTCTTCATGCTTTCATAAAAGTGTCTAAGTATATTTGTCTGGAAGATGATGATTTTAATTTTTTTCAAATGCTGTACTGATGTTTTGCTTGCAAATTCCACTATAGCATCCAACATGTCATCAGCTACCTTTGCTGGACTCTGCCCTGCTTGACCTAAACAAAAATAAAAGGCACGTATCAGTGCATAGTACTCAAATCAACACAGCACCCAGAAAACAGAGACCATGTCCCCAGGTCATACAGGCTGGTGTCCCTCTCGTCCCCCATTATACTTTCTGGCCAAAGCCCCAGGCTTAACCTCAGCTTTACACCTCAGCCTGTGAGCTCCAGGAGCTGACACCCTACAGAGACCAGGGCAGCCCTTCTGGGATTCATCCCCCTTTACTCTGAGGCTCCAACAAGCACTTCAGCCATCCCCATCTTTAAACTGGGTACCAAAGTAAAACCAAATCAAAATCAGCAGCGGGTTTTGGCACAAGCCTGCAGTGTATTTCAACATACAAACAGGAACACCAAGCTTGAAACAACTGCTCTTACTCCCCTACAAAAAACCTGAAGTCCAACCTAAAGCTTATCCAAAACCGTTGGTCAGACCCCTGCCAATTTCAGCCCCAGCATCCCTTGGACAGCCATCGTGACACCAGCATGCAGATGATGCTGGCTGTCCAGGGGACCTGCTATAACTATCACTGTGGACTTCAAACACCGAACCGCACACCAGCTCCTACCCTAACCTGGCATGCTGAGCAAGTACCAGCTCACAATTTCTTTTTCCAGTCCAGGGGACCCTTGGTCTGGGAAGGATAGCCTGCTTTCTTCAAGCCCTGCTCCCCAAGCTACCCAGAAGCTTAAGCCAAATAATAAGCTAGTCTGCCTCCAGCCCTCCGCTGGAGCAGGTAGGCTGAAACAAGACCTATAAAAAAGCATAAACTGCAGGTATTCTGTACTCAGCCCACAATTTCTATAATCAGCCAGGTTTTGGTCTCGGGACAACTCCATCTTTGCCTACAAAGCCCAGCCCCAGCCTTTCTGTAGGGCTGGAATCTCAAAGCAAGGTCTACGGGAAGTTTGAAGGGTGCAGGGTGGCCAGCTGAGTGAGAGACACAGTCTGTTTGGGGCAGAATGTCTTTTTATGGAGCAATACCTTTTCTTTGGGTGCTATTGCTCAATCAATATTGACTGTAATATTTATACTTTTTTAAAAAGCACCATTTTTGAAGCATGCAGCTGCTGTTTGAACTGACTACAATGAACCTTCACAAATCACAGTTTAGAGTTTCTTGTGGAAGTCTGCTGTTATCCATATCCAAGGTATTAACCTTGTCCGAGTTTCTGAACCACCTCTGTCACAGTCCTCAACGCTTTCCCAAGAAAAGACAAACCTGTTCCAATTGCCGGGAAGGCGACAGATTTGTACTTCCTTCGCTCACACCCTTCAAGCACAATGGAGACCTGACTCTTCACATTGTTACCGTTAATCAAGTGCATGATTTTCCTGCACAACAGTTTTCCACCTTGTGTAATAACCATGCCATTTTCAGACAACCCAGCTGGAAGACAGAACATA